AATATCGCCTCGAGCAGGCAGATGTTGTGGTAGTCCTTGTTGTTGGCTCACCCAATCCTCAACGAGGCCATCAATGATTGCATCCACCAAGCGAGGTGGGTACTCTTGGGCTTTATGAGGTAGGCCTCCGACCAGTGGCTCGTGCTCTTCTGTGCAGTTGCAATGTCTTTCAAGGTTCACTGCCATAGAGTCACTGGTAGTTGCGAATAGAGTGGCCTTCTTGTTCAACTTCTGCCGGACTCCGAGGCCAAAACGACAAAGGTCAGCTTTGACACTTTGACCAAAACCACGGCGTCATGGGCCAGAAACTTCTTCACACTTGGAAGCTGCCATGAAGTGGCAGTTCGTGGGTGTTCATGTAGTCCAAGATCTCCACGTTGTAGTTGGTCTCCTTGGAGGGTCATGGAGTAGTCCAAGTGTTCAATGGCGGGCCCAAGCTCCTCTTGCAACATCTCAGGATACCATCTCAGGTTCTGAAGCGGGGAAAACTTGGTGCAAGGAGGGCATGTGATGAGCAGCCGTGGTTTGCGATGCTGTAGTTCTTGTCGGATCTGAGCCTTCTGTGGTCGTTGACTCAGGCCCACGCCTGTTGAAAGGTCAACAGACAATTCTGCCTTCAGGCCTCTGGCTTGCGCTCGTTGGACGACACGAGGAGGGCTGTAGATCTCGACAGTGGAGTCGTCGGCGTCCCACAGTGAGCCATAGATCTCAGCCACGTCGTCATGCTCTTCAGCTTCTTCCCACAATGCCCAGTAGGTGGTCAGGTCACCAAGCATGCCGTCCAGGCTGCGATTGATCTCGGCCTTGTCGGAATTTGAGAGTGTGACCTCGTTCTCATACTCGGTCTCGTTCAGGTAATCGATGAACTCTGGATTGAACTCATAGAAGACCACATAGTCCACTGGGGCTCCAAAGGCGTAATCGTCACCGGGAGTGTTGGTCACATCAACTGCGCGCCACAAATCATCGCCTCCATGTGTCAGAATGACACGTCGGCTAACAAAGGTGCTGGTGACAATCGGTGACTTGCCTTTGACAACATCGCCATATCCGATGGCTACGAAGGTGGTCTGCGGGTCAAGCTGAAGGGTGTCCAAGAGGCCGCCATAGGTCTCGTCAGGATCTGCATGAGGTGGTGGTGAACTGAGCCACCAACTGCTTACTTGTTCAGGTTCTCGATGTTGAACTGTCCCATCCTCATGTAGTGATCCGGAAGCTGGTAGAGGTAGATTGCCAGGCTGCACTGAGAGTTCATGCAGATCAGTTCGGTGTGCTGTGCATCCGCTGCTACATCCTGTGCGGTCGTCATCTCCTGGGCGTTGCATCCCGGGCAGATGATCACTCCTGTAGCTGGTTGCGCTTGATCTTGAAGATGCACCCATGCTCTCCTGCACTGTTGATTCGAGCAGCGCCAAAGGAGTCGGCCATTCACCTTGTGTCGATGGAGCAGCAGGTCGCCTTGACTGCACAGGTCGCGCAGCTGGGCTAGTACTTCGTCCTGGAGGTTGGCCATGGCAATGTCCTGAGGGCCAATGGGAATCACATGCTCCCACACCTGTTGCCAATCCATCTCCTCGGGTTCCTCGTCGTCGAACTCCTCCGGGTCCGAAGAGAACACCGGGATGTTGGGATTCTTGTTGGCCTTTGCTGTTGATGTCTTGAACTTGTAGCCGTGGGCCAGTGGGACTTGCATCCAGTCCGAACCAGCGGCCGACTGGGTCTCGCTCTTGGCCTTCTTCTCCTCCTTGATTTGCTTCTTCTGGTAGAACTCGTGCTTGGAATACACAAGGGTGTTGTTCCAACTGGCTGATCGGCGTCAAGGGCATTTGCTGTTCTTGTTGACAGTTGGTGCACTTCTGAAAACTCATGTTCTTGTTCGCCCCATGCTTGGTGTTGAGGTGCCTGCAGTGGGTGCTGTCTTCCAAGCATGGTACCAAATATTTGCCCTTGCCCATGATGCATGCCAGCGGTCTCACTCGGTCGTCTCGCCTGGACATGGTCAAGGTCGTTCCAGGCTTCACAGTGTTGGCGTCTGCCACCTCCGCCAGCATCCTCTGCTCCTCCTGTGCCAAAGCAAGGGAGCGTTGTTCCAACTCTTCTCGCTGGCGTTGTAGTCGTCGGACACCACGGAGTTGGGGAGTTCGGATCACCTCCATGAAGCAGACTGCTGAGCCTGCAGCACCATGAATGCCCACAAGCGCAGCAGCAAGCGCCGCCAGCGGCCCAGCCATTGAGCTGCTGGAGGCATAAGGGACCGAGGGGCGGTGCAACACGTCGTTGGCCTTCACCGACCAAACTTGACTTCTGGTGCCAGCGAAATCGGCAGGGACATTGAAACCCGAACCAAACTCCGTGATGCAAACAGCGACGTGACCGGTGGACATTCTCATCATGCGTTGGTGAACTGAATGTGCCATATAACAAATGACCAGGTTGCGCATGTCAATCACCGCTTGCAACTCCGTCAAGAAGTATGCCGGCAGGAGGAATGGGATCTCACCAGGGACAACCTGTACTCGTAGTACACCGCTCAAGCCACCCAGCCAATAGGTACATAGGCTATCTTCGTGGATTCCTCCTGACCGCATACTCCACGAACCGAGCCCCCATGTTCGGTTGACCATTGGACCTGCAAACCAAAAACTTGTTGTAGATGTTGATCGTGCCTCTTGAGGGTCTCGAAACCGACCAGACCGTGTTGGGCTGCCGTGTCAACCAATGCCATCCCCCTCTCCGGACTCGAGCCGAGGAAAACGAACGAAAGCAGCGTGAGCGTGTATTGACTGCTGGCTTGATCCGAGGTGGTCGTCAAAACCTATGCCCACAGTTGGCCATCACCGATGGTGGTGAAGTGAAAAACCCTGTGGACATGGATGAAGTGCCGCTCACGTGTGAGGTCGAGCTCCGGGATGAAGGTGAGGTCATGTTCTTGTTTCTCTGAGGGCGTTCACGTGACCAATGGCCAATCTGCTTGCATTGGTGGCACCTGGATTTGGACTTCAGGTCACTCAGTGACATCCGGGAGCCTTGACGTTGCTGCCAGGGTCGTTCAAATCCCCTAGCATTGCGAGTGGCCTGCAAGAGTCGTCGATGCTCCAGGTAGCCACCTCCACGTCCAAAGCCTGGGGCTCCAGCTCCAAAAGTGCGTGAAGTGCCACCTTTGCCCTTTCCTTTTCCTTCTTTGACTTGCCTTTGCCCTTTCCGCCATGGCCACCATAGAGACGGTGCTGGGTCTCATAGAAGATCTCCTCAAGGCTTTCGCCCATCAACTCCACAGCTTCGCTTTCTTCCAGGCACCTCCTGGTTGACCATGAACTGGGCTTCACTGCCATCGTCCGCCAGGGCGATCAGGTCGGAGAAGATGTCGTCATCTTCAAGCTCATAGTCCAAGTAGGTGTCACCGTCATCATCGATGAACTCCTCCGCCACCTCCTCATCAAAGAAGGTAGCGCTTCTCCAGCGCAGGGTGGTCACCATGGTGATGGGCCTCATCCAACTTATCTCCAAACACCTTTTGGATTGCTACCTCGATGTCCTTGTAGTCGATGGACCCATTGGTGACAACCTTGAGGCGTTGTCGCTGGTCTTGGGTGAAGGAGCCTTGCCGTAGGATCAAGTGACCCAACAAGTGCCTGCCAGGGCTCGAGGTGAGCAAATCCAAGCCCTGATTCTTCAGCTCTGCAAATGCAGCTTTCTTCTGAGTGAGAAAGCTGGTCAGGGTCTGTCCACGTTCTCGTCGACCCTTGAAGATCGCGTCGTCGAACGCGGATTCCAGTCTCAGGTCTCTCAGGTACTCGTGGGCGTCCTCGATGATGCCGATGATGGTCTTGTGGCCATTCTCTGCGGTGATCTCATCCACCGTCAAGTGTGCAACCAATGCTGACAGCTTTGAACCAAGTGGGATGCTATCAATGATTCTTTTGCCGATGAGGTTGTGTGGTAGGCGTGCTTCAGCCTCAACCAACCAAAGCTTCATGTTCCTGATGTACTCCTTGTAGTTCTTCTCAGGGAGGTCTCCTCCCCAAGATGGTGCAGGATCTACCTTGTAGTCCACGAACTTCCGGTCTCGTGCACCGGTGGTGGAACCGGCCAAAGTGGCTGCCGCCGCCGCTGCCGCTGCCCATGGATCCTCATGGCCATGCCCTTCTCCATAATCACCGGGGTCATGTACAGGTGAAAGTCGTTGATGATCAGGTCGCTGAGGACTTGCCGCCGGTGACCTCGGAGGGGCTGCCATCGAGGGAGCCGGTGATGTAGTGGTGGCCCCAATGCCACCTCTCCAAAATCGATGTAGCCGTTCGGCTGACATCAACCAATCCCGTCAGGGACAATCCCAGTATGAACTGGTACTCGAAGGCGTCCAGGATGTAGTCAACCTGGTAGCCAAGGGTCGCGACCAAGAAGGACGGTCGAAGCCGCCGCCAGCCGCAAGCTAAGGCCGCCGCTGCAAAACCAGCGTAGCGCTCTTCAATCTCAAAACTCACACCCAAAGGAAAACAAGGGCCGTAGTGGCCGTCGAAGAAAGCCCTCCGGCAGGAGGGGACTTGTCGAAGCCCTCGAAGACGAGGTCGATGTTGGACAGCTCTGGTCCGGGGCGTCCCCCGGCCAAGGAAGAAGTCCACCTCCTGCGGAGCCCAGGTCGTCACCCGAGCTCCGCTACCACTGACAAACAGCGGAACGCGCAGCGCCGATAGCACGCAACGAAGAATCACCTTTTCAGGTGAACGCTCAAGGGGCCCCTAGTTCGGGCCAGTTAGGTAGCGGCGGGCCGACGTCCAAGGTTTACCCGGGCAAAGTCTGTTTCGTTTCTCACACTCCATACATTGCTTTCCTGTTCGATTTTGCGGCTCGTCGATTCTAAAGACAGAAAGAAAAAAGCGACCCTTGTTACTAGTGATGCACTTGTTACTAGGAAGGAAGGTCTGAAAGGTCTGAAAAAGAAAAACATAGAAACACCAAACGAGAGAAGCGTTGACTAAAGACGACCAACCCGAGCGCACCTGCTCGCCCTTCAAGGCACCCAAGTCACGTAGATTCTGGGCTGCAGTTTCAATGCGCTGCTGTGGCCTGATGAGTGACGATGAGCGATGGCTGTTGTCGCCAAGAACGATTCAAGGAATAGTTTTGCAGCATTGCTTTGACCACAAACACAAGAAATGTGGTGCACATAGTGCACACTGTGCGCACACTCACACATGCATTATTGCAATTCATTGAATCATATTAAATCATTCCATGTTTGGCATCATGTCCTGCAGGATCAACGTGACTGGAAAGCGCTCACGAGAACGGATGCACTAAAGCAAAGCAAGCTATCAAAGAAATTCCATCATGATTATGTCAACGTAGCAGCTGCTGTGCAGCCCGCACGGTGAGTCAATGAGCTGCCCCAAAAGCTGCTCTGGAGTCCCCAAGTGATGCAGCAGCACACGGCCTCGTTGCAGCAAGGCTTGAAAAAGGTTCGATCAGCAACAAGTGATCTCACAAACGTTCACTCAAAAACCTTGGTCTCCTGTGGCAAGACCACTCCAAGACCACTTGCTTAGGCTGTATTCTCAGAAGACAAACAAATCACCTAGAGGACCTGTAGACAAAATTTGAATTTGGAGCTCCGAACATGGGCCCAGTTGAACGACATGGTCAAGCCAAAGGCACTTTGCCCCGAATACAGTATTCTCATTCAATGCCCGGCAAGCTGCTCTTCAGGTAAATTGACTCCAGCGGGACGCCGAGCACCTGTCATCGGCTTCCAATTAAATTTGCCTGCTTATCTTCATACAAATGAACCCAAACAAGATCAAACAAGCATCGTAGCAACATAAAACTTCAAAACAAGTTGATCAGAATAGAGATGCATAGACTGTGCCCAGGTACAGGGCAATTCGCACAAATGCCAATGTCAATCAGACTCCTTTTGGTTGTCCTGATGCAGGGAGTCCAGGAGTGTGAGGGGATCGCACTTTGTGGCAAACTTTGTGGTGATTGGCATTGGCAAGTGCGCAGCAAATGACTTGCGAAATGAGATTAGGCGGCAGGCGTGCGATTGTCTAACACGACTTGGGACAACGAGGTGAAGCAGTACAGTACGCCACTAATTGAACCATGAAACTTTTGTTGATACTGGTTGATACTAGCTGATGTTGAATGTTTCTGATCACCCATGCAAACCCTTCCATTGACCTCTCTTTCAGCTTGTTAGGATCTCCTTTCTCGAGTCTGCTGTCATCTATATACTTTGGTGGTGGCTGGTAGGCTTGTGGGCTGTCCCACAATGTGGCCTCAGGGGAGGCATAAGGCTGCAATCGCTCATAGTGGCTTCGAGGAAAGAGGTAAATGATGACCTTGGCCCATACATATGCAGACAAAATTGGCGAGATAATTTGATGTGTTGAGTCTTGAGTCTTGAGGTATATACTGGTTGCTACTCCTTGCTGTGACTAAGAACTCTTCGTGTAGGCTGAATTTGCGGAACTGCCATGTGCTACCCAGTACTATCTCTTCTACTTCTACAGCATCTATTCTGATTCTACCTTTTTTTGACGAATTCAAACTAGTTGAATGAATCTATCATCAACTCCCACCAACGCTAGCAAGATCTGAAAGGCTGGTAGCAGTCCCTTACTTTCAGTCGACAGCACCTTGAACGCCCTGGGCGCCTTGCACCTTCTTGCAATCGACCACAACGGCCACGCCCTGGGTACGTGACAGGCAAAGGCATCCAAACGCATCCAAAGGCATCCAAAGGCCTAGTAGTGATGGCCTCCACCCTAGTAGCGTCCTTGCTCCTAGCAGTAATGGCCTCCACTCTAGTAGCTTCTTGTTACTGGGCTAATAATAAGCAGCCAAAGAAGGATGACGGGATAGAAGCGTATTTATATAGTTGATGACGTTTGGCATCGCCGGTTCACATTTTGTGACGTCGTCTATTGGCGATTCTATTCCAGAGGCTTCTTATGTGAGCATTGGCATGCAGCCTAGGACCAGCTGGACCCAGATACTTCAACAACTTGAAGACCTGTCCTTTGCTGCCATCCTCAAGAAGAATGACGTTCACTGCAAGACACTGAAACATATATATATATACACAGTATATATATATATGTACAACACACTAAGCACTACAGACCTCGTGGTAAGATGCTGCAAGAGCTTTTTCGGAGAGGATGCGTTTCAACATTCTAGATCTCTCAAACGCTTCCTACATGCCTAGTTCAAATGGAGGTTCCTGTTGAGACAGACTCTGCACTTTCACCTAAGACACACCGAACCACTTGTTAAGGATTGTGGCAAGAAAGAAAACAGATTCATGGAACAAGCACCTTAACTGCGATCCTAATTCATGCTAGAGCCACTCAAACGGTGACCCAGACCAAGTGGCCAACCCATTAGGGGTATGCTCAGAATTTTAGAACTCCTTTCAAAGATGCTCAATTCAATCTGTTTCCAGTGTTCCCAACCTCAATCTTGAACACAAAACCACCTCCATTATACGTTGTTGTTGTTGTTGTTGTTGTTGTATTCCTGTGCAACATTCCTGTGCAACATTGTGTGATACTTTACCTCTGTCCACTGTCGTGGTTCCGATTTCTTCCTGTTCCTTGAGACATGGAATCCGAAGAAGCTCTGCCAAGACACGCTGCCGGCAGGTAGCCTGGGAACTCCATGTGTTGCAAAGGCTCCTGGCGCTGCTGGGTAAGCACGGACCTGACCTGCCATGGTTCTGTCACAAACCCTGTTGATTTGACAAATACTCTCATTAAGAGGAAACAGCAACAGGCCCGTCACTGACAAGACATATACAACTCTAGAAAAGGACCGGTGTTTATCAACTAACCGAAGCACATTGGCTGTACGTATACAAAAAGTGATAAACGACAGCCTCTCAGCTTGATGACAAGCATCAATGGCACGAACCCCCCCACACCAAGTCAATGTGTGTCCAAAAACATAGGTCTCGCAAAAGTTACATGTAACAAAAAAATACATTCACTCGTCTTACATGCATAAACTGCACAAGCCACAAACGACCATCTCAAATGAACGTATCCCCTTCACCATCCTTCACAAAACCTATGGCCTTGGTCTGCTACAACTTCTGCTCATCAACTGTTCCAAAACTGACACGTTTGCAACTTACGCAGTGCAAGTTCCACGCACAAAGCTATATCCCAAAAAAGTGTACACGCCTTACTTAAACCAAACGGCGTAACAACTTGGACACATCAACAAATTTGTAGATGAAGGAGGTAGGGTTTACACAACGTGCTTGACTCTTCATGCAAGTTCTTACTTCAGACTGCTTTCTCCACACCGTCCGTTTTCACGGTCTGTCTTCAGCTGAGCTCTGCAAAATACGTATGATTAAACCGTTTAACCCCATGTTCGCATAACATTCTTAGGCTCCTGCTTACACTTTTCTTACGCGACCACAATGTGACCCTGCGTGCGAAGTATGTCCCGACCTTACACAGATCTTACGCACCTGCGTCGAGCACACATGAGAACCATATCCGCAAGGGAAATGCTTACGCAGTGGTCCTTTTTGCCGATATGCGGGTGACAAACGCAAACGCTTGTATTATATGACAAGGGCATTACTTAGTTCATCTTGGGAGGCTTCTTGTGGTGCCCACCTGCTGTCCTTTATCTAATTCCTTGACCCTGCCATCCCCTTCCTTTGCCTGTTGTTATTGAATGTCGCAACAAAAGGGGGGGGTGCTTCATTGCCATGCCATGAACTACACAAATTTATACTTGCGGCCTAATTTACATAGGGCGTAAACGGAGTACGTAAGTAGAACTTGCCTAGCAAACTGCATGGATCTCTGCTGCATGTGTCTCTGCTGCCAGGCGCACTGCATGGCCCGCTCTTCATCGAAAACCATCTTCCGCACAATTCCGAAGTCCAAAACGTACCGAACCTGGAGGAGTTCCAAAAATATAACCACGGAGTTCTCCAACAGAAAGACTAAGAATGGAACATCCGGGATAGTGATTGATGACCTTGGAGCATCGAGGTGCAATCTTGCAAGCTTCCTTTAAGTAGTAGACTTAGTAGGCTGAGAACAAGGAGCAAGCCATATGCAACCTCTTGTCAGGCGGACTTGCGCAAGGCCCCGAGCACCCCAACTCTGCGATGTTAGTTGAAAGCACCACCTTGCAATGCCCAGCCTCACACAAAGGACAAAACCACAGCTCAGGCCGGCCCCTCTACTCAATGTGTTTGAATGTGTCCACTCGTTTCATCTTGTTTTGAAGTGTCCAATTCCACAGAATGCTGAGTTGCTGAAACATGCTGAAGCTCTGGCTGGAGGTGGAAGAAGGGCGCGCTTTTGCTGTTCATGGGGGACCACTGAATGTAACATGTGGTAATCCTGAGAATCGAGCAAACCGCAAAGTCAAAAGCCAAAAGCTGAATCTGAAAGCTAAAGGCGAAGTGGGGAAAGCAAAAGAAGGACTCACCTAGGGTGTTCGGATTGAAATTTCATCTGGTCTTCGAAACATGCTGGAGGGACCAGCGGGCATCTGCCCTTCCGACTGTGAAAGGCCTCCGAGATTGACTTCCGCCGCAAGCAAACACTCATCAGCATCATTGATGTGAAACGAACTTTAGACTTGAACAAAATGTGTAGTGTAGAGGCACAAACAGGTTCCAGGCTGACTCCACAGTGCAAAGCAATTGAGCAAAGTTAAAAATATGATGGCACAAATGCATACAAATGCAACTTTGCTCGGAGGAAGAGCACGAGACATCCAGGAACCAATCGTTTTGGGACATGCCTGCTTTCACACGCCTTTAGCAAGAATGTCGTGCGCTACTGAGATACCAAATGCATCCTTACTTGTACCAACAAAGATCGTCTATTGTTCCACCATATTCCACCTATCACCTCATATCACCTCATATCACCACCTATCACCTCCCATGAGCTTCTCGTTCCTCTCAGTTGTTCCTCTCCATTGTTCCTCTCAATTCCTCAAACTAAATCAAGCGTCCTTGCTCCTAGTAGCGATGCCAGGAGCCCCTAGTAGCTTCTTGCTCCTAGTAGTAAGGCCAGGAGCCCCTAGTAGCGCCCGATCGCTCCTAGTAACAAATTGGTCAATCAAACATGTGCTCTCGTGCTGCCAGATGCGCATGTGATCTGGTCCGTGGTCGATCCACATCTCCAAGCCTCATGCAACTGTTCGATCTCTGCAAGGCCTGGCCTTAGAGTCTTGCAGCACATGCCGCTTCTGAGCATATGCCTTCTGTAATCTCAAGTCAAAGTGTAGCCAATGCCAAACATGGAGTCAATGTCAAACATGAATATCATCACTTTGACTCGTAATCTTCAAGTTCAAGCCGGAGCTGACCTTCGCGTGCACCTTCCACCATTGGTGCCCGGACAAAAATATCAGCACACAAAGCCCTGGTTTTGCAACTGCCTGCAGGGAACAAAGTGACTGGGTCTGGGTGTGGCAAACGCCCAAGTTGAGACGATGGCATAATTGACTCAAATGTACTGACCACAAGGGTTCATTCAAAATCCAAGCTTATCTTGCACAGGCCATGCCAAGACTCAACGTCAAGAAGCTGGAAAAAAACATGGATTCCAATGGATATGGCACAACACACTGACTCACCCTGAACCAGGATGCAGATGCGAAATGCAGTGGCCTCTACGACACTCACACAAGTATCGAAGAGCTGCGGATTCACTTCTACACGCCCTCCCTTCTCAAACCTCAGTGGGGAATGAGGGAATGATTCAACACTGAAAAACGGCAGGGTGTTTGGGGATATGATAGGCTAAAAAATGCGAGGCTAGAACCCAAACAGTTTGGAAAACATGGATCGCTGTTCGATCAATCCTAAAGTCTGGAACTGTGGGACACATTTGAAGTGCGGTGTCGGATTTTTCCACCTTGCTTGGTGAGGGCTCAGTGGATGCAAGCGCCGATCTGTCAAAAAACACCATTTGGGACATGTAACTCAACATGCGTTCCACGCTGTCTTGTTCTCAGCATCCAATCCATGTGGTATTGACACAAGTTCCCTGCCGATCCATGCGAGCACGCGAGGAGACACCCGGCAACGCCTCAGAGACTCTACAGTGACAGAGCTGGCCGCGTTGCCACAAATTGCACTGCAATGTCGTGGACAAAATGGGCAACGTTGCTACACCTGCCATAATTGAAAGCAATCAATGACATCCCTGCTGGAATCCTATGATTTTTGCAAGGGTCAATACACGGCTGCTATTATTTGCTCCGTTTGCCCTGTTTGCGTGACACTTTTCTAAGGACACGTCCCCATTCACCAAGTCGTCCAAATAATAAGGGTACCTCACCCATGGGCAAGGGAATTAAATGAAAACCTTGGCGGTGCCAAAAACTAGACTCCGTGTTTGGGCGCCACTGGGGCCCCAACGTAGGGAACCGTCGGGAACCCACCACAATGGGTTGACGCTCGATGTTCACTCCTGGCAACCGCTTGGGCAAACAAAAGCAGAAACACCATGGAATCACCACAAGTTGATGAAGTACAATGAGTGTTGCAACTTGGCACTCGCACAAAGCCGAAAACAGCCCGATTACAAAACCCTACTGTCCTGGCCCGCCGAAGTAGTCTAAGAACCTTGGCCGACATGTTGTCTCGCTGCTTGGCTGCCTACCCTCCAACAACCAACATGTTTACATGACATGCTCTGCCTTTGTTGCCGCAACTTGTCTGGGCACAACTTTTGAACCTCGGCCTCAAAAAATGAGCTGGCGAGCGGGCGAAGGGGTGCTGCCGACCCAACGCCGGAGCCGTTTCCGCTGCTGTGGAGGGGAAGCGGGCACCTGGTCACTTTCCTGATACGCCGGACCCTCCAGCCTGAGAAACATTACGTTCTCTCGGTGGCAGAGCCAGTGATCCTGCTGGAAAGCTTCCAAGTGCGCCGCTGATAAATCCAGGGTCGTCACCACTGCACGACCGCACAAGGAGTAGCGGTATGCATAAACATTTGTGGCTGACTGGCCCCCCTTCACAATCTTGGCCCTGCCCTGGAGGCTCTCACGATGGCGCTTCAGGAAGAAGGTGTCAGCGAGGCCATCCAGGAGAACACCGGCGTGGATCTCGCGATTGAAATCCGCTAGATCCAACGCCTGACTCTCCTCCACTGTGATCTCCAAAAATCCAGGCAAGTCCAACCGCTTGGCGATCCTCTCAAGGATGTCGCTTGCAAGCATTGACTTGCCCAGGCGTGTTCCACCGACGATGGCCAGGACAGGCCGGCGGAACCGCGGAGATCCATCATGGAGGGAAATGAATTCCTCGACAACCTCAAAAGCCTTCATTGGTCGCCTGACACCAACCAATGCAGAGGCGTCGCGAGCGACGGCCTCTTCTAGCGCTGCGTCCTGCTCGAACCGCTCTGCGGCCTTGCAGTCCTGCAAGCGCTTGGCAAAGCCCACGGTCACCTTGGCTGCCCCAGCCAGGTAGGTGCCACGTGTGAGCTTGCCGGCTTTTAAGAGGTTGTCCAACCACCAGCCCTCCACAGCATATGCCTCGAAAGGCCGGTGGTTGCTCCAGCTCTTCATGGAGCCCTTCTTGTCCACGACGACGTAGAAGTGGCCGTACCGCACTGCACCTGCGTACGCATTCCCGCTGGCCTTGTTGGTTGCCAAATGCGGGTGAATGCCCCGGAAGACAAAGTCAACCAGGGCATTCGCACCACGCCTGTGGAAAGACTGGGCAAGGTGCATGTATGCGTGCAGGTGCAGATTGGCTGGCCCTGCAGACTCCATAGTTGTGGAAAGGCCTTGGGACTCTAACTTGTTCGCAAGCCCCTGTATGAACACCTGGAACTCGTCCCAAAGAGCCTCTAACCCCTCCATGTCCGGCCGCCAGCTCCTTGAATTGTAGGTCAGCTGGACGGCACGAAACTTCCAAACCCGCGAGGCCCCTGGCTCCTCTGCTTCAGCAGCTTCCTCGGCACCTGCGTCTTCCTCGGCAACCTCGAAGGTGGCCTTGAAGTCACGCAGGGCGGAGTCCAGAGCCTCGCGGTCTTCCGGCCCAAGGCTCAACGCAGCCAGTTGCTGGGCCACTGCCTCAACCCTTGGTCGGGAACCATTGGTGGGCGGCGCGGGCAGATTGTTCTGGCCGGCTAGCCGGCGCAGCACTTTGACGTGACGTTCACGTTCTGCGTTCCGCCTGCCCATTGTTGAGGGGGAGAACTGGAGGGATCGCAAAACTTAAAAACCTTTGGGCCGAGGGCTTTTCCAGCCAGCACTGATTCAACATGCTTGAAACTGTACCTTCGCCGGGTGTATTTGGCCGTAACGCGAGAGAGACGGAACCGGATAGAGGCCGGGGAAATGCAAATTGATGTTCAATCTTGCTACCGAAAACCCTGCGCAAGAGTATAAACTAGGTTTTCTGGGACCCATTTTCGAACTGCTTTTTTGCTCTCAGTCTGAAGCAGTCAAGCTCAGAGGCTGGAAGTTAGCCAAGGTGAGCGCAGCTTTAAACAGATCGATTTGATTTGAAATTTGAAATAGTAAAAATAATTCAATATATGTTGAACAAAAAAGGAAAGCTCTTTCTGTCCAACACCATGGCCTTAAGGTCTTTAACTCTGACTCCATCAAAGTAGTGCGATGAACGGTTAGCCTCGGCTTTGCTGAACAGTCACAGCCGTCTGATTCTTTCTACAGCTCGGATCTCATCAGTCTTGTGCTGAGATAGTCTCGCTTCAGCTCGTACTCACCTTGGGCGCATGCAAAGTCAATCCAAAGAAATAAAATTAAAAAAGTAGAACAAATGTATCGATAGAAAAAGGATGCAAATTCTTTTGTCTTCTTTCTTATATATATATATTCTGTAATCGTCCCTGTTATGTTCTTTCCTAAGTAATTATTCAGATTCGGCCACAATGTTCGCATGGAAGCTCCACGGTGCAGTGTGATGGTAGGTCCTGGTAGGTTAGTAGCCCCAAAAAACTCCGTTCTGGTGTGCGCAATCTGTACGGGTCCAAGGGCCATTGAAGTTCAAATCTCAGTCAGCAAACCAAGGGAGGAGCCTTACTACTGTACTAGGAACAAGGACGCTACTAGGGGCTCCTGGCCTTACTACTAGGAACAAGAAGCCACTAGGGGCTCCTGGCATCGCTACTAGGAACAAGGACGCTACTGGGGGCTCCTGGCCTTACTACTAGGAACAAGAAGCTACTAGGGGCTCCTGGCCTTACTACTAGGAACAAGAAGCTACTAGGGCTCCTGGCATCGCTACTAGGAACAAGAAGCTGCTCCTGGCCGTACTACTAGGAGCAAGGACGCTACTAGTGCCTAGCGAAGAATGACAACATCTTTGTCTCTTCAGTCACCCTCAAGTTGCAGCCAATTGAAATGTTCATATATCGATGTTCAGCGTGTCTTTTTTGTGTGCTCAGTTTTCTGTAAGAAGTCGTTAGCTATAGCCGATACCCTTTTAATAAGGCTCCTATCGGCCCTATCGGTCCTGCAGAAATCTGAACAATTACAGCAGCACAACTTCTTTGTGATTCTACCAAATGCTCTTCAGTTGCTCATGTATGCAGCTGGGTGACTCATCTTGCTGATCCATTGTAACTGCAATGGGAACAATATGTCAAGCATCAACTGAAGATAAAACAGGAATCCATCTGACCAAACACCAATGAAGATAAAACACCAAATTAAACTATTCAAGTCTGAACATCAATGCTTTTGGCAAGCACAAGTGAGCAGCGCTAGTCTAGTAAGTCCTGGCCTTGAACTTCACGTCCACCTTCGCTGGTGCTCCCGTACGTAGCGCAACCCGCTCGATCACAGCACAAATCACGATGCGCTCGGGTTCGTGGAAGTGTTCCTGCCCGAAGTTGCAAGTAAAGCTCCGAACACGTAGCTTCTGGTGGTAGACATGTTGTTTGTGAATGATGGGTGGATTGTGATGCATTGCACCAATTGCCCCATCGACTCCAACAGCTTCAACCTTTTAAGAACTCATAGAGTTTCTCAATCATCTTGGCAACGAAAAGTCGAACTGCCACCCTCCTTCAGCTGGTTTGGCATTCGTTCCAGAGTTCGCCATGCGCCTCAAATCCAAGCTGGACAAGACCCCCACCACAAATATGACACACCCAGAATACACTTAAAAATATAAAGTAAAAAAGATCTTATGTTGTTTTCTTCTTTTGCAAAGTCGAAAAGTCAAAAATGTCGAAAGTCAAGGTGCATGTCTCATCCAGTTCCGGCTGCATCAACGGCAAGTCTGCACAGTTTTCACTGACAGCCTCCCGCATTGCGAAGTCTATGGAACTTGGGGGTTCTTGGGGCAACGGCGTTCCAAGTGGATTTCAACAAGAAGGGCCTCAGGGCCAACAACTTGCGGGAGGCAGTTGAATTGCAGTTTAAACATGTTTCTCAATTCCAGGCCTGGTGCAAATACTCAAAGTAGCTCTTCACATGTTGCACGCCGATGGCATCTGTCACGGGCCCGTGGCCCGGCACGAAAAGCCAGTCCTCCCCGGTGGCCTGCAAGGAGCATCCGCCAATCAAAAAACTGCCAACAGCGGCAACAAAATGTGTAAAGACAGCTCTATCTTTTTAAGGGGAGGGGTGGGCCGCAGAAGAGGTAGTAGCTAGAGGTAGGTAGCTAGCAGCTAGGTAGCTATGTAAAGGCGGCGGGGGAAGCTTCCTTGAAGAAGCGCTCGCACTAATGATTTGGTGTATAGACTGTATAGGAAACTTAACAGGGCTACTGGCTCTATAACATGATGATGGAAGTGTTCCAACACCAACCTGACACTGTGTCCACAGCTATGCCAAGGCGAACGAATGGAACTGCAGATCGTACAAAGACCCAGTAGCCCCAAAATCGCCCCCAAAAAATGCAAACAATTGTTTTTGCATTGCTATTAGGTTTGTAGGCCATCGAAATTCGGTTGGAGGCCATCGCCCGTAGGGTGGAGGCCATTGCTACTAGGTTGGAGGCGATTCCGAAACCTTTTATTGCTTGTGCACCAAGCGGAACTGAGAGCCCGAAAACCTGAAACCCACCACCCAGTCAGCAGGTGCAGCTCCTGATTCCCCTGATGAATGCCTTCGAACAAATGAATCGCAACAAGATGCGATTACTTTTAGAACTGTTAAATTACAATAAGCTACTAGGAACAAGTGCATCGCTACTAGTAACGAGTGCCTTACTAGTAGTAACAAGGACGCTAGTAGTAACAAGAAGCTACTAGTAACAAAGGGCATCGCTACTAGGAACAAGAAGCTCCTAGGGGCTCCTGGCCTTACTAGTAGTAACAAGGACGCAAGTAGTACTTGGTTGCCACTTTGTTTTATCAAGATTCAGGTACGTCACCAGCAGTGCGGAGGACCGATTCATCAGCCATGTTGCCATCAAAAAGGGCCTAGCCCCTCACCGATTTGTTGTACGACTTGAACAGTTACACTCGCTTGTGGGCGCTTTGGCCGCATGATTTTACACTTGTCTCCCATTTGTCTCACTGGCTGGTATCGGCATATTTCGGCATAATGTTCTCTTCTGATCTTGATTGTTTTCATCGCTCAGAAGTGTCGTCAGTTGTTCTCAGCTTCTTTTCACTACTAGCTTAACGGTATGAACATCAAGAACAGCAACCAATCACACAGAGTGGCAGTTGGGCACCCTAGGAAAACCATGGATTGTTGTTGGGGTATCGAGTGTACTCATTACGCCAACCTGATAAGGGATGTTCCCGGCATACATGGAACCACGTTTCAAGTCTGGCCTTGAGCAAGTCATCCAGCGCAGTCACCCAACTTTTTGCAGGGCCTGCCCTTAGACTTAGACATTCATTGAGAAAACAGAAACAAAACAAGACATAAATGAATGAATGTCCATGTCCTTCTTATCGAATTGAAAAGTCCATGGACAAAAACAATTTGAGGAGGACTCGTAAGACGCTTCTAAAATCCGAAAGAATGCATCTTTGCTCCACTTGTAGAAACAATAAGCTATTAGGAACAAGTGCATCGCTACTAGTAACAAGTGCCTTACTAGTAGTAACAAGGACGCTAGTAGAAATCATAGAAAGAAGAAAAGCCAAGAAGTAAGCCTAGTAGCTTATTGTTTCTATTTAATTCTTGTTTCTACTAGCTTCTTGTTACTACTAGTAAGGCACTTGTTACTAGTAGCGATGCACTTGTTACTACTAGCAGCCAAGAAGTAAGCCTTGAAGAACCCTTCGCATGATGGGTGTCATTCCATGTCGTTCCCTTTCGACACATGGCTGGTCTGGTTTCGCACTGCCAGGGCAGCCAGGGCACCACATCACAGGAGCAATCCCAATGAAGAGCAGGTCGCCAGTGTAGCAAACACGGCTCTGCGGCAGCAGCAGCACGGAGTCCTTACATCCATCGCAAGTAGGTTGGAGGCCATTGCTATTAGTAACTCAAAGGAAGCTTAGTTGTCACATATGGCAACCCACACAGGACAAGTTGTCAAAGAATGTCAAAGGACGCATTGTTTCCTAACTTCGATGCATGAGCCCAGCCCCGATAGCCCAGATTACGAGAAACAAAACTAAAGGCCAGTTTCTGAATACACGTTCCCAAATGCGCTGCTATTCTTCGCACAGTCGCACAGCCTCCTGTGGTGCGTGTTCTGTGCAGCATGCCGTTTCGGCGCTACCATTTCTGCATTTAGACGCGAAGGCGCGGCGCTTGCATTGTTAGTCGGCGTCCATGTTCGCATGTCAGAGGTGGCATGCTCTGGATGCATCCCGTCAATCGTTGCCCTTGAACACGGCTCACATTTAAGCATTGTTGCACTTCTCCATTTCATAATGGACATTCATCGCTCTTTCATTCACTCTTGGCTTTCCACCTCGCAAACACGCACATTTAAATCACTTCATTATTGTTATGTTCTTCTCGTCCTCTCCTTTTTTCTCTTATTCGTTCCCAACGTTTCTCTTGCGCATTCCTCTCTTGATGTTTGACGTAAGGTGCAGCACCAAGAATCAGAGAAAACAGTTTTCTACCTGAAAAGTTGCAACTTCTTGCTAGAAGGTTAGAAGGTTTCATTGCGACATGAAAGCAATAGTCATTTGGTTGGTGTTTGCTACAGCTTCAGGCTTAGCTCCATTACAACTTGGGCATTGTGAACGTCAAGGCAATGGGCAATTGTGCTTCAACATGGCCCTATGTCTTCAATCCGTTACATCAAACAGCCACGGCGCACTCTTCGAATGGATTGATCCCATCTGCCAGAACCTTGTGCAAAATGTGTTTATTTGTGTTTGTGTAGAGTTTTTTGGTTTTTCCCACAACTGTAGTCCCAAAACATTTACTGGCCAAAGCAATGGACTCTTTGGGCATCTTGAAAAATGCCAATCCCCTTCCTTGTTTTTCACTCAAAACACGTCTATGCGAAAATTAGGTCTTAGACTTCACCACACCTTGGTGACTTAGTGTAAGGCCAAGTTGCAATTTTTGCAAAACAATGCGCTGTTGAAGACCCCTCACACACAAGCAACACTTCTATGGGCCGATGCCAAATTCAACCTGTTTAAATATTTCACCGCAACCATTGGGGGCAAGGGCTTGCATTAAAAGGGGCATTCCGGGAAGACCGAGGCCAGCATTGTGGCTTTCTCGCTGCAAGCAAGCATCTTCACCGGCAACGGCGAGGCGTCACCAATGTCCAGAGTGATTTCATCTCCTGCTGGCTGCAGAAGAGAGTGCTGTCGGGCATTATGCCAATGTGTTGGGCGAACAAACAAAACATGTTTCTTATATTAAATTGTTTATGACATAAGGAGAGAATCATACCAGCAAGCAGCTTAGTCGGCAAGAATTGTTGTTGTGGTGGGCAGTCGCAGCCCCAGCCCCTGCCTCGGAAAACAAATAGCACGACAGCAGCAGGACAGAAAGACCAGAGCAGGACAGGAGCACAACAGGAGGACCAAAGGATGAGGGAAGGAAAGCAACATGAACACATAACAGAACAAAAGAAGGACAAACTGTGCCCAGACAACCCGAAAAGGACAACAGGACAACATGGAGAGAGCACGCCAAGAGGAGAGCAAAACCGGAGATAGGCCGGCAGCCACGGCCATCGAGGTCCCGACGTCACGACGGAGACCTCACCAGCGTCCCGACGTCACGGGGAGCCTTTCGCACCAGGACCTCAAAGTATTGAGTGTGGATATATATATATATATATACGCGTGTGGATATTAATCTGTTCAACGTGAGGTGTAATCCTCTCCCTCGTAGACAGCGATGGCGCACACTTGTTTTCCGCTTGCTCTACAGGAGTCTTGAGCCTTGAGATAGGCGTGACACGCTATAGTATGTTGTACATGCATATGGTATGCTGTCGTTCCACTGCTGTTGACACCCCCCCGTGTGACCGATGCTTTCAGCAATGGTCACACCTAGTGAAATTCAAGGGTAGTGGACTATATACAGTGGTTCGCTATGATTCGCCGCGAGGCCTATCAAAATAGACTCTGACTACACTGCACTGTTGAAACTAAGCGGGCTTTTACATATAGAGCGCGACCTATTGGCTATACAAGTTAAGTTGTGAAAACTGACCGTGAAAGATGCCTCGCTCAGAGTCCACTCAGTAGATCTCCGCTATGAGATAGATCGAGCTTTAAGCTTTTCGACTGCAGAAAGTTCTTGCAGATACTCTTACGACTGTTCAAGAGTCACGCGTCGTGCGCTGATCTTGTTCAACAGAGGTTCATACGCAGTGCGCTGAACTTGCTTGACAAGGAGTCACACGCAGTGTGTTGACCTTGATTTAGCGTCTGGTATCATTCTCTGCGTTGTAATCTTCTTCTTCCTCTCTCGCTCCTTGGCCACGTTCGTCGTGAACTTTTCCATTGATGGATATGCCCAAATGATTCCTGTGTATCGGTCTCTGATCACGAAGATTTCTCTGTCGGTGTGGATGCCGTGATCCATGATCCTCTGAGTATCGATGCAGTCAAAGGTGACTAAATCTCCAAATGCTTTGAATTTGCTCCTGAAAGCTCCCCGGGTCTTGTAGTGTCTCATCTTGGCCCTGATACATGATTCACAACATGGATTCCTTGTACCTATGAGTAAGGAGGTGTTGCGTGGTCCTGGACCTTGAGCGTTCCCCTCCTCACCATTCTGCTGGCACCATCAACGACATCAACCTCGAGGTCGTCTGCGTCATCTTCATCGACTACCTCATCAGGTTCCTCAGGGTCCTCGTGATCCATATCTTCGTCTTCTCCTGGGGAGGCCTGATTCTTCTTCCTCCTTTTCCGTCTTACCTTGTTTGCGGGATGTAGGAGTGATCGTCGAAGTCGCAGTTGAATCCTTGACGATCTACTTCATGGCCAATGGCTTCAGGTTGATAACTTACATCAAGGTGACCGGTGATCAATCTGGATATACTTTCTGTTTGTTCATCGATCGTCGGCGAGCAGAAGTCACTGTCCTTGACGATGTACGGTTGTTGCCTTCGACCTCAAGTAGAATTTTCTTGTTGTCTGGGGAGATCATGTATGGCACACCATTTGCCGGCCATACGATGGAATATCCTTCTTCCATGCACTTCTTGCCCACAGACAGTACTGGTGATTCATCCAATACATAAGGAGTGTGAGTAAACTCAAATTCATCGAAGTGGATCTTTGCAACATCATTGGTGTTTGTCACACCGTTCGCTGTAAAGCATGACATGGGGCGCACACTCTTCTCAACATCGAGACCCAGTTTCTTGGCTCTATTCTTCGATATGAGATCGTGTCCGCATCCCGTGTCCATGATGAACTTTGCTCTTGACTCTTAACCCTTTAGCAGGTACTGACAATGTTTGCACTTCACCTTTGGTCCCATGCTTGCCACAGACGTGAGGGATGAGTTTGTGATTGAATACTAGTCCTTCTTCTTCATCGAACCTCATCGTGATGGCAATGTCACCGTTCGGACCGACTGGAAAGTGAACCTCTCTGATACTGGTATAAGGTGTCGTAAGGATAGCTCTTGCTTCAGCGACTTTTGCATCAAAGCGGCTCCCTCCCCCCGTCTCATATCTCTTGTGATATCTGGTCTCAGTTTCTTGATCACGGATTTCCATACATCCCTGATGGAGTAGGCAGCTTCATTGAGAATGATCTCACCGATGTCCTCGTTGAATGAAATCTTCTTACTCTTCGTGATGCTCATCTTCACACTTGCTGCAAGTCCTTCATCATCGGACTCTTCCAAGAAGAATGAATCTCCCACAGCCGGAGCACTTGGTTTCCCTTTAGGCTTCGGTCTCGGTGTAGGCTTCGGTTTGGGTTTGTCGTCCCCAGAATCTGCAGCTGCGGATGTACTCTTCTTGTTGGGCGCTGCCATTCCAACATGGAACCTTTCCTTCACCTTTGGGCGATGTACTTCTCGATGGAGTCCTTGATTTCTTGTGGCCATATGGACATCCTTTCCCTTGGGTACATTTACCTTTGGCAAAGAATTTGCACGCGATCTTCTTATCTACACTTCTACTTCTTCCTCTGTCCTTACCGTCTCCCTTTCCTTTCCCTTTCTTGTCTTCTGGGTGTCTCTTTGGATTAGGCGTCGGCTTGACTGGAGTTGCTTCTTCCGTCTCCCCTACTGCGCCCAATGGTTTCGTCTTTGGTTTCTTTGGATAATTACGCGCAGGCGTGGCCTTTGCCTTGGGCGCTGGACCACTGGGCCTGAGACTTTGAAAGTTGTTGGCTACATTCTTGACGGCTTTCTCCTTCTCGAGGAGCATTTTGTTTTGAGTCTGCCTTTCGGTGTAATCATGTCGCGTAGGGTCTGGTACGTTTTCTTGGGGTCCCCTTCATTGAGGCTGTTGTACTTATGTATATCATAGGACATCAGGTTGGGGTTCTTCACTTTCCTGTACAATAGATCACGAACTGTCTCGTCGCTCGGTGCTTTTCCCACCCATGTAGGGTGGGAACTCCTCCTGCTCTCTTCCCGCCGAAGCTTGAAAAGTTCAGGCGAAATAATCTTCGGCAGCGCCAGCCTGAAGATGGTTTTCATTGGCGACGAAGGACAAACAAACACAGCCACTCTCATACGCTGTCAACTTCATGAACGGAGCTTCAGTCACTTCTCTTTTAAAGGGGAGGGTTCAAACCACGGTTGACTTCCCAAACCTAGCGTTTTAAGGTTCTTTGCGGCAAAACGTTGGAAAAATTACATCTGGTGGCCCGGTGGAAGATCCGGAAAGACAAGAGCAAATTCAGGAGAGCGGCGATATCTCAGCTGAGATGTTGTCGAGGGATGTATCTGCAGCTTCGTCATGGCAAGCGTCAGGCCGGTGACAGCAGGTGTGATACTGTATCTGGTTTTGCACTTACTGCAACGTTTTGCAACTGCTACGCTGTCTTGCATTTGTCTTAATTGAAGGTGGCGAAAGCAGGCGGAACTGTTTTGCAAGGTTCGAAAGTGTTTTTCGCAGGTGTAGTTTGTGTCACGTACACAAACATTCAGCGGATCAGGGCCAAAGTGCGACGACTGAAGCATGCAGTCGGTCCAATGATCCAAGGAACGAACGACGAAAATAAGCCGCTGCAAGGCTTGATCAAAACTCACAACGCTGACCTGGTGTGGTTTGTCCGAGGACTGCTGCGAATAGGAGGCGCCCTTTTTGGCCGACCACCTTTGCCCTGGTTGTTCGGGCAGGTTGGATCAGCGGACCAATGTCCAAGCGCACCACAAGAGCTGCAATGGGTCACCTTCTTCAATTCTTCAGGTGGCAGCTTCTTGCGAGCTGGGTTGGAAGAAGTGTACTTCCTCCCCAAAGTAACACCAGAAAGCTTGCGAGCCGTCACAGTCAAAATATCTGCGATGGACTCAAGATCCGGCGCGTCATCATGCTCATCGTCCTCCTCGGGAGGCTCCTCATCATGTTCGAATTCCAGCTCTTGCTCCTCATCGATGGCGTCAAAAAACTCGCCATCCTCTTCAGCATTAGCCTCAGGTGGGGGGTATAATCGTCGAAGAAGAGCTAGACGCGCGGCTTCCTTTGCTTGCCATAAGCTCCTCTGAAGTCGGGATACTGGAACACCACGGCCTCTGCAATGGCCTCAAAAGACAACGACTGTTGAGTCCCGACGAGCATCCGTTGGGACTCTTGGCTCAGGCCAGAACCTGGATCCAAGGGCCTCGTTGTCGTAGGTGGCAGAGATGTCAATGCGCAGGGTCAGCAAGTTTCTCTGGCAGCGTCTGAACCTGTTCACAAAGGTCCTCGTGAGCTCACCAGGGTATCTTCGAATATTCTCAAAGTCGGCAAATTCAAAATATGTCCTCTTCTGAAACACAGTTTTCTGTTCCATTGGGGCCTGAAGCATCCGCAAGATCTTCTCCACTCCGTCCTCCACATAGATGTCATCTATGGTAAGATGCTCTAATTCTTGCTCCGGTTCACCTGTCAAGCTGTTGTAAAGGAGGAGGGCTTGTTCACGACGAGATGCATATTGGCTCATCTGGAGTTGCCAGATGTTCACCTTCTTGGTGAACTTGGCACAGGTTCGTAGATCATTGGCCTCAAAGCGCCAAACAGGAGGTGTGGGAGGAGTCCCAGACTTCCACTTCTGTCCAGGCTCCAGGCGCCAGGCCGCGCCCAATCTCGACTCGTATCTGGCGAACAACTCCCTGAGAGCCTTCACCAAAGCTCGCTCATCAGTCGATGAAGTAGAGGCGGCTTGCCGAGGAGGTAGAACAGGGTCGCGTGGTAGGGCTCGATTCACCACATCGGGGTCCACGCATGGGTCATTGGTCAACGCCTCAGACTCAGCGGCCTCACGGCCTTCGAAGGAGGGCTCATCAGGTGGAGGTCGGTAGCCATGCTTGGGTCGGTGTCGACGACGGCGAGGTCGGCTCGACAGAACCTCATGTCCCTGTGGCATGAACAACCACGTCCCATTCGGCTGCACAACCTTCTGGGGCTTTGACACCTCATAGAACTCCTCACTCTTCCACACTTCGTGCACTTCCACGACGTTCCCCAGCCACCACAAGTAGCCGCCACAGCGAAGGCATCTCCATCTCAAAGGTGTAGGCGACGTCAACGAGGTCGGAGGAGATGCGTCAAGACCTGGACTCGAAGCAGCAGCTGGCACAGGTGGACAAGGAGGCCAGGAAAGGCCCTCATAGTCCTCAGGTTCCAAAGGGGGAATGGAGTCAGTGTCCCCCACATCCATAGCATGCCATGTCGGCATCCAAGACACCAGCCGCTGCGCAAAGGCTCCGGTGCCAACTCGTCAAGGCCGACAGCAAAGGATCACGGCCTTTTCCATCAAAGGAAAGTCTTAGCTCAGGGCCCTGAAAAGTGGGAGGTTCGGGCCAGTGGTGCAAAGCGGTCAGAGCATGGAATGATCCTGTTCAGACGTGTCATATATGAATACATGTAATATTTAGTGAACTGCTGAGGAATCTGGCGCGCCCTGGGGTGTTTGCAAAGTTTCGGGCGGCCCTTAAAGCTGGTCTCCTTGTGGCGACCTGTGCGGGGCCGCCTTGTGAGAGTTGGTCCCGGGCGCGTCCTAGTAGCGTCCTTGTTCCTAGTACTGTTGGCTATCATCTCCCTGATCCATGGTGCGTTCTTTGTCTTGGACCACCCCAAGAAGCCTGGGGATCTTGGCGCTGCTTCCATTTGGATTTGGAGGCTTGATGTCTTGCAGGTTTTCGGCGCAAAGTCGCCGAAACCAGAGGGTTCAACGCACTTTACATGAGGCTAAACTCACAGATGTGCTCTCACAAACGGTGTCGATAGAGAAAACAGGTCAAGGTGAATGGCAGACTGCGGCCCTTAAGGAGTACCCCAAAGCGCTTTGTTACGGGCTTGGAGGCCATCGCTAGTAGGGTGGAGGCCATCGCTAGTAGGGTGGAGGCCATCGCTTGTAGCGTTGGAGGCCATTGCTTGTAGGGTTGGAGGCTTCGGTTTATTCTCTTCAATAGGTTTAAGGAGTACCCCAAAGCACTTTTGTGACGGGTGGAAACCGAGGTGGCATCCCTCTATCTTGTTCACCGAGGTTCGATGGTGCGGTTGGATGAACCCCCCCAAAGGCACCCAGGAGCTGGTTGAGCACCTGCGTGCGTGCGGGCGTGCGGGCGGGCGGGCTTGCCTCTTCCCACGGTGGCCCCTATATGGGTGCCTCATTCACTGCCCTATTTCGATGCAAGTAGGCAACTGGCTAGACCAATGGCTTCTGAAGTGAAAAAAGTTCTTTTTACAAGCCTGCTCAGCCCTGCCTCCTTAATTAAGTAGTCGCTACTTAATTAAGTCTGGAGGTAAGCTACTATCTACTTAAGCTACAACACATGGACGCAGGATAGCTCACTCAGGCGGGGCAGCTTCGTTGAAGAAGCGATCGCACTAATGATTTGGTTCCTGGATTTCTTGGGAACCCTTTGCTCCTAGTAGTGTCCTTGCTCCTAGTATATAGTAAGGCCAGGAGCCCCCAGTAGCGTCCTTGTTCCTAGTTCATTTCAAGACATGAGAGTCGTGACATGTGATGCCAAAAAAACACGCACAACTTAGACCCTCCAAAATTCAATGCACATCTTTGTCAGCTGTTTCAATGATAGCCAGCCTGTCCTGTTTGAATGGTTTTGGCAAAAGCTGGCAACTTGTCTGCATCTATGGTGTGCAGGTTGAAGCCTCCAATCCAAGCGTGTTCATGGCTTTACAAACCACATCACTGCACTGCCGACCCTGAAACGGCGTAAGAGAACATCCATCAAGTATGTCCAAATGGCCTTTTGCAACCACATAAACCGACCAAGCAGTGATTGGTCACCCCATGGTCCAGATGGCGACTTCACCCATGGTCGGTACCAGCCTTTTGGGCTATGCCGGATTGGGAAGACTCCGGTCGGGCTAGGAGCGAGCTTGTTCTGGTGACGTTTCTGAGCACAGTGAGTAATTGCTGTCTATCCTCATGAAATGTGATGCAACAAGCCTTTGCTCCTAGTAGCTTTATTGTTACTAGTAGTAAGGCCAGGAGCCCCTAGTAGCGTCCTTGCTCCTGGTAGTAAGGCCAGGCAGCAGTGGACAGTGGTACGTGTGCAGGCGTGCCTTTAGGTGTGCCTTTGGGTGTTGACCCTTCAGTCGATACGAGGAGGGCCCTTGTGGCTGATTCCTGGTTGCGACCAAATCACTCCCTTGTCCGGATGTGTCACTTTGGTAGTTGCTGCTTGGTAGGTCTCTCATCATTAGTGATATCCTTGACTTGTACAGCACTGTGGTTGGGGCGATTTTCTGCAATGTTTGACTTTGTGAAGCTGAGCGAGGGCCGCTTCGCAAAGTTGCATACTCCTGTGTTCGGGTGTGCAAATCCCTCTAGCAGTGATTCCAGGATGGTCACCGGAGGGATCACGAAGCGCAGAACCAATCAAGTACAGAACAGTAGAGGCCAGTAAAGCAGCAAAAACAGAAAAGAACATAGGGAACTTGGAGAACAGTGTAGTACAGGTAGCTAGACCATGGGCAACCTCACCTTGAGGCAGCCCATTATGTAGGTGGTTGCTGGCTAGCTGGCTGGGTTGGCTGTAAAATTGCATCGATTTTGGCCGACTGCTGATTTTGTTTGGACTCGTTCCGGATTTTGAAGGAATTTGCTCCAAATGCAAGGACAATCAGCAACATCCTCTACAACACATGTCTGCCAACCCTCAAGATCCAAATTGACAAACTCTGACTCCAACGCTCTAACAAGCCCAACTTCATGATATATCACTACCTTCGCATCACTGAAGAACTCCAGCTGACTTGGCCTCCAAGCTTGAAGGCATAGTTGGCAAAGCTAAAGACCTGCAAGGCCCTGGGCCTCATCCAACCAGGCAGCGACGGCAGCAGCCGAGGGCCTCCACCAAACATGCGTCTTGAGATCCCCCAAGATTAGAGTAGTGCTGGAACTAGCCATGTCGATGACCACGACATGAAGATTTTGCACCCTCCCCTCAAGGGGCTGACCGAAAGATCAGGGTCTTGTGGCAAAGCCTGTGTTGCACATGCAGCTGTGTCACTAAAACAGTCCACCTGCAAAACATCTGTTGGTTGACACACGTGTTGCATCTCAATGGGTGGCTATGCAGGAAACAGTAAATTGCCAATCCTTCCAGATTGGAGGTTCCTAAAATGGTCCGAGCGCCAGCCTTCATGAGTAGACGTTGCCCAGGGGTTGAAAAGAACTCAAGACATGGTTGCAAAGTGCCCTGTAATTCAAGCGACTCCAAGAAATTGTTCCCTGCATTCACTTCGCGGCCTCCGATGAGTTGCAAAGCCTGCCATAGCAAATATCCAAGGTTCACAGTAAAGCGCATGCGATGCAAGGTCTTGGCCTCCCAGGAGAATTTATGCTGAAAGTGTCCCTGTTCACTGGCATCTGGGTTTTGCTAGCAAGTTCTGCACAGGGGCCAGTGGTACAGTGCATGATGAAGGAATTGAATGTGCATGTTGACTGGCCAGTTAATTATCTTCTAGGTGCAGTCTTGCATATTTTGCAACAGGACTGAAGTGACAGGTTCTTCATGATGGCCAACCCGTACTGGGGCTTGTTTGGACAGCTCAGGACAAACCTCCGACCCAAAAACAAAGGTAGTATAGGGAGGCGCACACAAAGAGCACTGACACAAATAGAGCACAAAGAAACTAGAAAACTAACAGGGAGAGGTGGAAGAATTTCATGAAAAGAGCATTGAACATCCCAAGTTTGAAGTTCAGTTGACCATGACATCCAAGGATTTTCCAGAAAACATAGAAACAAATCAGCACCATATATCAGGAAACATGTGCGGCACAGGAAGAAACACATGTGACAGGCTCCCACGCTCTGAGGATCAAAACGAAGACTTCAATTAGCAGGTTCCAAGAAGCTCGCGGATTCTCACTTGTAGGTGTTTGGTTCCCAGATCTGAAGGGTTCACACTTGCGCCACATTTGTTCAATGTAATGTCCCCATCTGGAATCCTCTGTTGTAGCCAAGCAACAACAAGCAATGTTTTTGGCCTTCACATGGCCACATCTTCCAAGCATTGCTTTTGCTGCTGTTGCATCAAAAACAAGCACAAGCTCTTCTGAATGCCGCGATGCCTCCAAGCAAAACACTTCCTGCTTTGATCCCTGCTCCAACTCACCTGAACTCCCGCTGATCACCTGCTGGGTGGAGAGCAAAACTTCAACAAAATGACTGCCACGCAGCAATGCACCACCTGAAGTGCTCTTACGAATTGAAAGGCAACCGCCATCATCTGAATCTGAAAACATCTTCAACTTGCTCTGTTCTGATTGCTCTGCATAGCTCCACACACACACGCCTCCAGTGTCCTCCAAGATACGCTGCAAGCCGCTTCAAGCCGTTCGGACGCTCCACCTCTGGCCAACCCTTTGTTTGCGCGTCTGGCCCTGTACTGAACCGTGGCACCCACGTAATCAATCAACCAACGCAAGATTGGACGCCGAGCAGATATCCCAGCCCAATTGTTGGCCTCCAAGGCCGACTTGAAGGTCCGACTCATTCCTTGAAGCTTCGCCACTGCAGTCTCAATGGGTCCATTGCTCTCCCCGCTCACAGCATAAAGTCAATCTTGGGTAGTCTCGCCTCATCCTCATTGCGAAGCGCCACCGCCTCTCTGCATATCTGTCTTCAGCACTGCATCTTGCAAGCCCAAAAAACGCAGCAACTTGGCAACAACAATCACTGGACATTTGCGATCTGTAACCCCTTCGCATGGCATATCCACTGAAAAAGCCCTTTGTGTCCTTTTCCCCAATGATTGCCAGAAGAGGTAAGCGCGTCTCCTCCTGCCTTCCAAAAGAAAAGTAGTCCACGCTCACCCAACGCCTCTTCCTTGCTTTGTCATCAGCATCCTCTCTCAACCGCTGATGCGCTAGCACCCCCAACACAACGATTGCACCAACTCCGCGTAACATTGTGCTCATCAACCTCGGCTGAACTCTGCGCAATCCTTTCAATGGCCTCATGGTCCTCCCAACCTTCTGAGAAATAGCCACTCTTGTCTATGTCCAAACCCATTGGTCCTGCGCCATAAACATCAGAGCTTTGACGCGCTCCTAATTTTCTGGTCTCCTCACAAGGTGCCGTAGTCACCTGCGGACTTATGAGTCTGGGCTGCGCGGCGCGCACGACTTTCCTGCTTACGATACGGATCCCTTTTTGCCAGCAAAGAACTCCCGTAATACCAGTTGCGGCAACTCGATCGCACCTGTCGATGCATCTGTGATGTAGGTTGCCCTCTGCTGCGCCTGCGGTCATCCTGGCTTGTCATGGCGAGCACACCAATCTTTAAAGAATGTGAAGCCCATGCAAAAGGCTCCCTTTAACGCGATAGAGCTCTGGAATGATCTCACCATTCTGCAAAAAGTCTCTGCTGGCCAACCGGTGCTCCTGCTCCTGAGCTAAAGCTACTGTTGAAACCGACGCTCCATCTCCCCCAATCGACCCTGCTGCATCCTGCGCAACACGCCTTGCTATGGCCTTAGCCTTAGCCCAAGTCAATGCGCACAAATGTTTGGTCGTCAAACTCCCTGTAGTCACTGGCGGCTTCCTGACTTGATGCGGCAGCTGCAGAGGTTGGTGAAGGAGGCGCTGTAAATTGAACAGTCGGCGGGCTCGGTGATGATGATCCAGCCGAGCTCAACCGCTGAAACTCCCCCACTCCACCTTTCGCATTGTTGGATTGCAATTAAGTAGGTGCCACTGTAGGTGCCTCTTTCTCAACAGCATTCAAAAGCTTTGGACGACTCCAACGGTGGTCTTTATAACGACCCGCCTAACCACACTTGTCACAAACAGGCTTACTCTTTTCCACCTTTGCCCTTACCCTTGCCATTGTCAGGGGTTTGCCTCTCCCCTTCCCTCTATCCTTACCTCCTTTGCCCTAGAATTACTGGGCTTCAAAGAGGCGCAACAGTATAATGTAGGGGGCCAGGCAGTTCCTTTTGCAGCGTCACCGTTGTCCGAAGCGGAGCCATCGTGTGTGATGAAGTCCGTCGATGACAAAACACTGCTACAGTATCCGTGTTTAAAACATGATTTCAACAAGAAGCTACTAGGGGCTCCTGGCATCGCTACTAGGAGCAAGTAGCTACTAGGAACAAGAAGCTATCCGTTTGAGGAAGAAAATCGGATGAAGTCTGTTTGGAACCTTTTGGCCGGACCATGGGAGTTGTCCAAGGTCAGTGTTGGCATCAACTGAGCGAGGTACAAGCACAGGCGGAGGCAAGCAAACATTGTGACGGGGATGCGCATATGCATCTAAAAGAAGGAGCACTCAAAGAGTTGATGTTCAAAAATCCTCTGCAATACGTGTGTGCGTCATGAATGATCTGCAAACCATTCTGCTCTGCCAATCCCTACAATGTACTCACAATTGTACTCACTTGATAAAGCCGGATACAACTAACTATGCATATTGCCCCGCGCTGACCCCCTTTTTCCGCCATCTGTGCACCGGCCTGCGCCAATATATCCTGCTGAGCTTTCACGTCACCCAATCTAGGCACCTCCATAGAAACTGCCTCGCCGGCCACTCCCAGACGCTGGCGTTGGGGAATGCTCAACCACGTCAAAGAATGCAAATGAAAACTTCAAGGCGTACTGCATAACAAACTATGGCCAGTGATATCTACAGCTTTTTCCAGCTAGCAAGGCAAGCATCAATCTCAGCTATGCAAGAACAAAACGATCGGCAAAACAGAAACTCTGCAGTATTTGTTTCGTGCCACAAAAAGGGCCACAAAGGGCAACTTTACACTTTATGAACTTTAAGCAAACTTGATAATTTCTTTATGTTTTCATTCAACACACTTTATATTAAAATGCATTATTAATTACGTCCTTTTCAATATGTGTATTTCTTCTTAAAAAGACTACCTTTGAGCACACTCCAAGAATCTGGTGTTGCCGAGCTGAGTGTTCCTACTATTTTCTGAACGTCAGGCTGAACGGACCGTCAGGAAGATCAGAAGGGATGGCCCCAAGCTTCACATTTGGGGGGGTCTTGTGGCAATGCAAATGAAAAAGGCTTCAACCTACTAGCGCTGGCCTCCAAATAGATTCCTGCGCTTCACAATCATCTACTCTGCCCTGCTTTTACAGTAAGTTCTGAAGGGTGCGTCGCGAAGATGCAGCAGAACACTGGCCACCAAGGGATGGACGGCGGCTACAATGATCTAAATCGACATTTGCACCCCTTTGCTACTCACTTGATCCCACTTGATGTTTAAGGAAAAGACTGTTCATCTCACTATGCCGATGAAAGGCCTCGGGTCCATCGCGAGATTCGAGGTCACAACACACATAACTCACACAACACGCAAAAAAATAACACGCACACAAACACCTGACCCGCTTGTGCGTCTCCCACACTTCGGATCTCTCTCGGATCTCTTTGGCCCTCCAAATGTAAGGCGTTTGGGGCAGGTAGGGCACTTGTTACTACTAGCGATGCACTTGTTCCTAGAAGCGTGGCACTTGTTCCTAATAGCTTCTTGTTACTGTCAATATCAATGTTGCCTCTTCATTTCTCCGTGTCTCTCCACACGACTATTCCCATGGGCACCGTGGCACTAACTCGCTGCAACATACTGGCTGGCAGGTCCACACTCAGGCACCAAATAAGGCGGACAGGACAAAGTCTCTATACGGTTTGAGGATCTCCGTTCACGCTTTCAATGTCTGCAGAGTTCTTTGTGGCAAAGCTCCATACAGTCTGAAGCGGTGCGTGGGAATTGGTCGCTGTTCTTGGTTGTTCTTGATGACGTTTACTTCAACCTGTTGTACTCTTTGGAATTGTTGTACTCTTTGGAATTGAATTATATTGAATCTCTATTTCTAGATAAATTTGAGGACAAGGCACCAAAGAACAACATTGTCTCAGCTGCAGCAGGTGTTTGCATGCGTTTGCTGGCTAGTTCGTTTTGAGACATCGAGGTTTCTGGGTCTGTAGGTTGGCAACAGCCATTCTCAAGGGTTTTGAAGCCTAAAGCCAGAGTGTGGAGGGCAGTGGTGCATGAGTGAGCGTCTGGCTGGGTGCAAAGTTGTGATTCTCCTGGGTCTCATGGCGAGTGACCCTCGGCAGAAAGCTGACGGGCGCTGGCACTAGATGGAATCTCTGCGGAAACCATATGAATTTGTTTTCAAAACCCCACCTGGTTGCCCAGAATATGATCAACATCAGGATGTGTAAATACCACTGCCTTAGTTGCGAGTGTGCGCAAAGCAGGCAAACAAGCATGAACTGATACTCTCAGGCTCTCAAGGCACAGTTCAAGTAATGTATTTCCACTTATTGACTAGGTCCTAGGTCCAACCCTTCAACGGAAAGCCTAGGACTGGGCGCAAACAAATGACCCCAATGCGGCCCTCTCCACCACCTGTGCCTGCAAAAAGGAGCACATGTCCAGAGCAGTCTGCAACCCGGTAACCATTCTGAACCAGTCGCATGCCCTGTCAATATCGAGATGGAATAAAAACAGGTAGAACTCAGTGGAACTGCATGGAACCTTTGGCTGCTTCTCTACGAGTACAAAGAAGCAAGTGTGAACACAAAGCGAATGAAACAAAGAAAACATTAAAAACAAACATCAGGCTAGTATCGGTAGCCTATAGAATATAGATGTCTATAGCACACGTAGATTGAAACATTCATGTCATATGTTGAGTTATGTCTACCGCAATGGTGTTTGCTAAAAGGGATAGCGACATCCAAGGCCTAAGGTGAACATGTTATTTCAATTAATTTGGGGGTAGGCCGTGAGTAGGTAGCTTAAAAGCTAAGCAAGCAAAAAAAGACACTAGCAGGTAGCGGTTTAAGTACACACTCTCGAATCATTGATCCAGATATTTAGGGCGCACTTCTTCTTTAACAAAGGTCTTAAGAAAGAATAGTATAGGAATGAATAATAAAATAGACAGTCGTCTAGAATATAGATGTGTTCAAAAAGTTGAAGTAGAACATAAATAACATTTAACAAAAGTACAAATCCAAAATAATAGTCTAAAGAAAGGTCTAAAAATTCTAGTCTAGTAGTGATGTTTTTAGATGCTTTTACAAACATGCTCAAGCGATCGAGCGAAGAGAGGACTCGGATTCTTCAAGAAAACTTGTTCGGAGGAAACGAAACCTGAAGCCTTCGCATGCACGAAGCGCTTCCATCAAGCCTTCCTACACATGTAGTTTGTAAAAAAGGCCTGGAAATTCTAAGAACGCGACTAGGAACAAGTGCATCGCTTCTAGTAACAAGTGCCTTACTAGTAGTAACAAGAAGCTACGAACGGGGCTCCTGGGAAAAAAAAGAACGTGTATAAAGTTTAAAGTTTAAAAGTAGCATTTCACTGTGGGGGGGCGAAGCGGCAAGCTTACAAGTAGCTATTACTCTCCGGACACAGGAAAGCTCCGGACACAGAAAGAAGCCCTTGCACTATTCATGCGCAAAGAATTTGGGAAACGGAAAACTTGAACTCTGCAAACTTGTTTTGATAGATCGCATGGATCGGTGCGGGTGTGAATTGCCTCGCCTGTAGCAGGTTTTAACTCTGCCACCATAGTCGATGTCAGCACTGGATCCATCAAAGTATCGACCAGCAGTCCTCTTTGCCAGTGAACTTCTGGGAACAAGGCTCTTGACTAGACTCAATGATAGAACAAGGTCCAAGCCACAACTGGCTTATCTGAACCAACATGCAGCAACTGTCTGACTATGTACAATCGAGTGACGGCATAGTTCAATGTGGAAGTATTCTGAGCCTGGCAGCCTGGCAGCCTGGTCTTGAGTAGCAGTCTTGGAGTAAGGCCAACAGCAATGAACGAAGAGGTCCTGGACCATGCAAGGATGCCATGAAGCCAGCATTGGACCAACACCATGAACCGTTGGGCTGAATGAAAGCATAGGGCACCTCAACTGCAGGCTGAAGCCGTTGGGCTGAGTAAGGTTTGTCAAGGCAGTTCTGTTGGAAGTATATATATATATTGCGAACGGATGAAAAGCGTGCCCCTGGCCCCGTTCTAGCCCTTAGTCTAACATGAAGCTCGCGCGCTAAAGCTCCTTTTTACCTGGTTGGGCACTTGAGCCAAAATGGTATGGCAAGTACCTATATAGAAGCTATACTGAGACCTCATCTCTATTGACACCCCCCACATCCGTGCTTCGACGGGGAAGGGAGATGAGTGGATGTAAAAACCGGAGAACGAATCATGCTCTCAAAAGTGCATTGGAGGTCAACCAGTATGTCCTATTGATCTGAATTAGCAAACGATCTTGCATTCGCTTGAAAGTTGGGTCAAACAGGTAACGGAGCTACAAACGGAAAACGTGCATCTACCTATGGTATCCTGCGACTACCGACGGTGTGAAACACAATCCTATTTCACTCCCATGATGCCAAAATGGTCATCATGAATTACCCAAGACCCCTCAGTACTTGAAGTACCGGAAGTAGTATGTCGGTATGACCCCGATGCTCAACCATTCGTGAGTTGTCGCGTGTAGTCAGCTCCGACAAAGCCAATGTAGTCCTTGATGAGCTCAACGTTCCTTGGGTTTCCCCTCCGGATCTGCTCCTCGAAGGACTTCAACTTCTGCGTTTGAGTATCGGATACCTCTATGCCGTAATAGCGGCATGCAACGAGGATCTCCTTTGTGACATTCTTCCGCTCTGACTTGATGGCGGGGCTAATGTCGATGAATTTGTATGGAGCGGCATCTTCATCGTCTGGTTTCTGGTAGTAACTATATCGGCTCGCTCCGAAAGTCTTCTTAATCAAGCGTCTGATGAAATTTGAGATGAATGCCAGTTTCTCGATGATCTCTTCCTGGGTCTCAGATCTTTGAGCCTTCGGATCACTCATGTTACGCCGGGTGCTGCCGACCTCTTTGAGATACTTGTGGCTAAGCCCGCAGCGGATTGCAGTGATCATCATCGGGTGAATGACGTGGGCATGAAATTCATAGATCTGCCACGCTTCTGTTGCATACGTGTCGTTGGTCCATTTGCTCATGCCTACGACTTCGGCTCTCTGAAGGCGTCTTGGAAATCCAGTATCCGGATCATTCGGTACTAATGGCCATCTATTGAATGGAGTATCATGCCGCTGTCCCTCGTCGAACTTTCGCAGTACGTCTTCACGACTCTCAAAGCAATTGATGTCGAGCGTTGCGTTGGCCAAGCTCTTGATCAACTTCATCAACCTCAGATCAAATT